AACATCTTCCAATTGTCTTTTCAGTCTCCTGGGAGACTTAAGACAATACGAGTGATCATGAGTAGAGAAATGACGACTCACCTTTTCAGTGCTCTTCGTACATTCAACATCCTTCACCTGTTGAAATAATGTGGGCACAGCACTATCTTCTAGACACACTTTGTTACCTGATATTCTCTTCATGCTATCGGAAAAATGATCTGAGCAAACTCTGCTCCACTTAGTTAGAACTGTGAGAGGCGACCATTTCTTTATACTATTTACCCATTCCAAAAAGTGCAGGGTTTTTCTTCGTCAGGAAAACTATTTGAAATAGATTAGTAAATTTATTGTTTCATGCGTTGATTCAACAAATAAATAAACAAATTTGTTGAATTTTTTAAAAAACACACAGGAAAACATCAGTGTATGCAGTATTTAAGACAATGTTTTTTCATAAGGCCTAACAGATTTTGGGGCTTTCAATTGTATAAATGCCGATTCAATCTTTCAGGAACAAACAAAATAAGCGAATAACTCACCTGTGAAAAGCGATGTCCTTCGCGTTGTCAATATTACGACATTCTACAATTGAACATCGATTAGGCATTTTTGAAAAAAATATTGTTTTGGCCTTGAAAATATTGTTTATTTATCATACAGCTTGCAATTGCATTTGAAATTTTCAACTGAAGGCGGGAAAATCAATAACATCAATCCGGAGGAGGTCGAGAATATTATTTTTCTGCAAAGCGATCATTTCAGCGGAAATACGTCCGTTGGCCGCCATGTTTTTTACAACAGTTCCCAGTCCACTTAGCCGCTCCAGTTATTATAGAACTCAATGGATATGATCTTCGCACTTAGCTGGACAATTTAAGCAATCGTCTCAGGTCCTGACGAAGTGCGAAGATCATATCTCATTTAATTTCAAACACCGCACTGCATAAAAAACATTCATATGACATTCATTTCACGAGATAACATGAGCCCAACAATATTGACCTGCTCACCACTGTGTGACTTCATAGCTCAGTGGTCAGAGCACTGCACCGGCACCGCAGAGGTCATCGGTTCGAATCAAGTTGAGTCACCTGATTTTTTCAGGTCCTGAGACGATTGCTTAAATTGTCCAGCTAAGTGCGAAGATCATATCTCATTTAACAACTTACACTGTTTATGCATGTGAACAAACACAAAAATGCCAGATCGATGTGTAGTTTTTGGTTGTTCTAACGTAGCCAGTTTGGAGAAAGGCATTTCACTTCATCGCATACCATTTTTTAACGACGAAAGAAGCGAAGCTAAGCGTAGGAGAAAGCGATGAGTCAACTTTGTGAAAGCTACTCGCGATAAGTGGGTCACCACAAAGAATTCCGCAGTTTGCTCGGAACACTTCACAAAAGATTCGTTTTCTCGGTAATTCGGCTCGCTTTCTGAATCAGAAAGTAATTTTGCACCTCCACTCATTCGAGATGAATTCGGAATCGTTGCTTACCCGAGCATTTATCCTCGAAAAGATGACAATGAACTTACAACAAGAGATCGCAGAATGGTGAGTACGTTAAAATTATACATATGCATATCAACATTTTATCTGGAATCCGTGTGAGAGTATATTTCATAAATACATGCCATTTTAGATGAAAAGAAAGTGGATGTCTGATTATAAAAGAGAGGTTGAATCAGAAAATATTCCAAGTACAACTCAACTTGCTGTAACTCACTTCAACAGCAATTTGGACAGGGATAATCAAGAGGTTAATGGAGTTCCCCAGGTTAAAGTGCATTATCCAAAATTTAAAAATGGTGAAGCTGTTGTAAGAAATGTAAAAGTTGCTCAGGATTTTGGTAAGGTTAATTAATACATTTCTCCTACTGCCAGATATCATGTGTTTAATGCCATAATAATGAAAGCCTTAATAAGAAATGATTACCATAAAATAAAATTTTGAATAATTTGCACATTGCTCCTCCAGGGTATGTTGAAGATATTTATCAAGTGTTGTGCTCTGCACTCATTGATGAGGAAAAATTGAGAAAAGCCAAAGGTGATCTTTTAAGAATGACTCCATTGCCAATGAATTCCATGTTGGACAAGCAATCAAAAAGTGAAGCTATCTCAAAAAAAGCAAGAAGAAAAAGCATGCCAGCTGTACATTTCCCCCCAACTAAGCCAGGTTTTACAAAAGGCATTACTTGCTTTGAGTTAATTTGAATCTTATTTTTGGAACTGACTCACTTTATTGTTTGATATAGCTGAAGTATCACCTTTCCAAGAAATGATCATTAATTAGAGAAATGAGAGAGCAGCACCTTGATGCACTGTGTGCAAGAATTGGATGAAAGGCCATAAAAATATAATGAACTGTCCAAAAAGCCGAAAGTAACCAGTTTTTTAGGACCTGGTGGTATGAGCCCAATTAGTTGGGATTCAGTGAAGTGTGAATTGACTGCATGGACAGAATAAAGAGAAAGGAATTGTAATTTCGTATGTTTTGTATAACAAGTATAAGTGTGAATCGAAGATGCAATAAATCAAGAGTGGCTTAAATCATTCCACACTTCATTGAATCCCTACTAGCTGGGCTCATGCAAACAACAGCTAAAATAATATATAATGTTATGTTATTTTACAAATTGTCCTCTTCATACCCTGCAAAGTGTTCATTTTTTTTTAAATTAAAAGTTTTTCGAATAACATGGTAAGCACAAGCTGGAAGTGGAATTCTTTTGTCTCGAAGAATGCCATGTAACATTCTTGTAAATTTTCTATATGCAACAACTCGAAAAAACCTGAAAAGGCATAATACATAAGGTCCATTAAAACAGGTAGGAGTCCATAAAATACAAATCTTGCAGTGTGCATTCATAGATAAACCAGACAGAAACATTTAACTAATAATTCTAACAAACCTTTGCTCCAAGAATCCTTTATGATATCTAACTCCATCTTGTCTTTGTTAAAGATTGGCAGCTAAATTTAATGCCCAGCGATTGAGGCAAATGGCATCAAATCCTCGATGCTCTGTTATGCATTTTGGCTGCCTTCCTAATTCGGATACCACCATACGATCTTGCATTTCAATCATGCAATTGGCAATTTCATGGCAGCATCTACATTCTTTTGGATTAACCAAGAGACGAACACGGCAGTTGCCACAATGGCACCTACGAAAGTTATCTGTCAAAAGCTTCGGCAACAATATATAAACAAATTTTCCAACTTTTCTTACCAAGAATCAAGAGGAACTTCATTTTGCATTCTGCGTTCGAGCTCTTCTGTTTGGCGTCTTTCTTCTTCTGTTTCTCTAATATACCTTTCTAACCACTCTTCATCTGCAAGTGGTTCGTTTTCATACGCTTCAGCTTGGTCATACTCAAAATCGCCATCGGTGATTCGGAGCGCATTTGGTGACGATTGATCTTCGTCTTCTAAATCGAATTCCCGACTGTTCAATTCAATATTTTCTACTGTTGTTGCTGTACTCGACTCAGAATCAGATGTGGACATGTTTCGTACAATTTTTATATTAATTTCAAAGCAATATATAAAGAATTGTTATTTCACACTATGTTGTTTTGTATGCAGCGCATTCATACGTTCCTTAAATGACGTCACAAACCTCTCGTTTTAATTCCCCTCAGCGCTGCGAAAATTTCTCAAAAGCAAGCTAATTCAAACCGCAAAAAAACTTTGTTTTTCCTTTTTTTACGAAATTTTTTTCGAAATCATATTTTCCACAGTCTAAACTTTAAAATTTCAACGAATTTGGAAATAACTGTATGTGCACTTTAAGGAATTTGAAGAAACATTATATGTTGCTTTGGATTTTGACCCAGTGGTGCGTATTATTGTTTTAGACTATGATTGGTGAGCTCATGTTGATCCAGGACAGTAAGTATGTTTTTTCACATATCCCTCGCGTGAAAATCACGTTAAGACGCTTGATTCTCATCTTAAGTATTTATTTCAACATAAATTGAGTCAAGAAAAGTTGATTATGTTAATTTGCCATGAAGCCCATCGATGGTTTGCTCATGATACATGAAATAGTAAATCAGAAAATTTAATCAAAAAATGAAGAATGTTTAAAATATGTTTCACGTTTCATTAAACTCGCATTATCTTCAAATCTCTAGGACATTTTTGTTCATAAAAAACAAAAAAATTTTTAAATGCTCAAAATTTCTCTATCCAGTAGATCATGTTGACAGAATTCAGTAAGATTTGGTACTGTTCAAAATATGCAAACAATGGTAGACTTAGATCTATTATTTGTCATGTCCTCAACTGTACTTCGTGTCCTCAACTGTTATTCATATGCTCAACTGTTCCTCGTGTCTTCAAATACTTCTTAGATATGAACGGGAGATAATGTACGCCTATATAGATTAGTTGGAATTCATTGGTACCAATCTTGTGCAAGCTCTGCGATTGTTCTTACATAACTTCCGGCTTCCCGGTAAAGCGCAAAAGATCGATCGACTCATGGAGAAGTTTGCGAGTAGGATCTGTGAAACGAACCCAAAGTAAGGGCATGATTTGTGTCTTGTTATCTGTTGTTTTACATCTCGCATTGCATGCCGGTTCGTGAAACTTACCAAATGACTTTTGTCTATGAACAATGTGTTAATTTTTTTTTTCATTTAACATCAACAATAATTTAGGACAAGTTTTTGACGATTTTCGGTTTTTTCAAGTATTTTCTCATCGAACTTTTGTAATTCGAGTTTTGAGGGCTGCAATTTGCTGTTAGATAGATTTAAAGTGAGTTGTTTGAACTGGGATTATTGTTACATGTTTGTAGATGTAGATCATCCAGGAATGTAGAGTCCTGAGAAGGACTGTTGTTGTTGATGTTGACTGACGTTTCTACAAACTAACTCATGTACAAACATGTCTAGATATAACTAGGCTAGACTGTCTTTGATAAACTTTTATTTTATATTTATCATTCATATTTTAGTGACGATGTGTTTGCTAGTTAAGACGCTGCCTAAGTTCTGGCTTATTCTATCATGATGTTGACTACTGATCTACATAGTTCACAGGTTATACAGACTTACTTCCTTTGCAATTGTTTTCTATAAAAGTGACTTTATGTCTAAGATCACGTGACTCCATTATGGTCACGCGAGATTTTCATGGCGTTGATATGGAGCCTTCATTGGAATCACGTGAAAATTTAGCCTTTTGATGCGACATCGTAATCACGTGAAATTTTCTTTCAGGTTAAACGGAAGATAACGAAAGAGCAGTACATTCAAATGAATCGTGGTATAAATGACAGTAAAGATCTTCCATCTGAATATCTTGAAGCAATTTATGATGATATTGCACAGAATGAAATCAAGATGAAACATACACCAAAAGTGAACAGTAGATACGATGCTACATGTATGTATTGGAACATTAATACAAGAATCAAGGCTTAACTGAAAAAATTGTACAGATGCTAGGTAAAGGTCTTGACTGCGAAGTGTAGAGTACAGCTCTGAGACGAAGGTGAAGGTCTTGAGATGGAGGTGTTGGTCTTGAGATGGGTGTAGGAAAAGGGCTTATAATGGATATTGTGATGTTCGGTGTTGGTCCAATGACATTTTCATGAAAGTAAAGAGATTTTTTATTGTGCTTCCACTTTACAGATTTGCAAAGTGAGAAACATCGTCGTATGCTGTATTCTATGGAAATGGAGCAGATGGCGGAAAACACCAAAAAACAAATGGAATACGTGAGCCAGACTGGAAAGTATGTCTTGCGCAACCTATATCTAGGTTGTGCAATTTCGGGAGAAATGCGCGTCCTGACGCGCAGATTTTAAAAAATTTCTTGTTCGCCGCGCATTTGTGAAATTTGCCGCGCAGCGCGAGAAATTATTGCGCAATATCAGCACATGTGCGCTGCAGCGCTGTTGTTTCCGTTGAAAAAAATTGCTGCCTGTTGAATGTCAATCTTAAAGCTGTTTTGACAGGCAAGTTCCGTTAATTGGTTGGTAAGCCAATAAGCGTTTGATGACTAGAAATATGATATCTGAGCAGATTAAATACACATTCTTTGCTTTCGTTTTTCGAGCTTTCTCTTTTTAAGTGACTTCAAGGCAAACCATATCGATTCTTCGGTGTATTCTACGGTGATACATGTTATTTTATTAAACCAACTTGGGGTGTTCAAATTTGTAAGGTGAGTACACGTAATGGTTTAGTAAAATCAAAAGTACTGATATATAATTACAAATGATAAAAATTCTGAAAGCATTAACGCTTCTAACACTAAACGCCCGGGGAAACAAGTTATTATTTAACAGTTATGTTTTTTGTGTAACCTAAAAGTAGTGGTACGAAAGGATTTCTTTTATTACAAACTACAAAGCATGTTTTAATACATTTAAGGCAAATAAAATTCACAATCCTTACATAAAACATATTGATAAATGAAGCAATTTATAATTAAAACCGGTTTGCTAGCGAACTAACAGGGCTTAGCTCGCTATTGTTTGGTGATAAAGCGAGATTTTTTGACAAACATTTTTATCTAATTGTTTATTTATTTTTACTAGATGGCTGAGATTCAAGCAGTTAAATCAGGTAAATTCACGCGTTATAATAGCCGAAAATTTTCCCAACAACAATATACACAATATATATCAGCCATTGGTTGATTGCAGGAGCTGGTTCGGTGATTCCTCGACAATATTCACTTCTTACTAAGAGTACCAAACCAACATTTGTGTGTTGCTAAAAACTAGTGCTGCTTGCCTTTGATACCAAAAAAACGTTCATTACATTATCTTAACTTATGTTTTCATTGTTGCTGCCTAATTACTAGTTTGCGTTTCATGCAAGAAGGAATGTGGAAGCCATTTTTGCAAAGTTTGCAAAAACGTGCCACGCAATTCCGCCTTGCTCAACATCAGCAGGTGATGATGAAGGTTTTGGTGCCCAGGTCTTGTGTAGTGGCTGTGCAAAACTGAGACAGCAGCAGTGGCTAAAATAAGCAGCAAACACTGTCTAAGGAAGGTAACAGAACAATTATCTAGTGTTAGAATGTTAGTCGTGTGTAAGAGTGATCGTGTTTGCGTCACAAAGAAAAGTGGCATGACATTGTCAGTGGTTTTATAAAAACAATAGTAAACAACCAAGATTGGCTATCGACACATTTGTAACCATAAAATTGTGTGTTATAGAGTTTCAGTTTGCCAACATATTTAAAAGACATAGCAAGCAGCAGAAAACAGGACCAGAAGCAAAGCGAGCAAAGAGTGGACACGAGAAAACCCCAATGGGCTTTGCTTACTTTGTTTTAGGCAAGGCAACGAATTTTGGCTTGCTAGAGGGAACAAGTCCCTCTAGCAAACCATTTAAAACTCACAGCGACAAGGGCGAAAAGACCTTAGCAAATGACGCTATTAGAGAAGATTCTCTTGCTAAATCTGCGCTACAGGCGTACAAAATGCTTAAATCGGCTAGGTAAATGAAAATCAAGTTCCCAATTCCCAAATTGAGAACTGCACTTACATTGTGTATGTTTTCTATGTTAATTGTATTTTCAGTACAAGCCAAGTGCAACAAAAGTGTGGTGGCGACGGAATGGGAGAACGGATAGAAATTATGGAAGTCGATGAAAGGTAGCTAAATTCTCATTCCCTGCGTGAACCATAAAATAACCGAATATCACAAACTGCATACATGTTATATAATACATTTCTTTTACATATACAGTGATAGCTTTTTAAAATTATGAATATTAAATTGTTTCAGAGAGCTTGGTAAGGATACGACTGGACATGCAACTGACGAACTTTCGTGCAAAATCGTTTCTGGTGTCAGTGAATCTGAAAGTTGGGAGGAAACCGATGAAAAAGATGAGAGGTTTGTTAGTGAAATACGGCATTTTTCTTGCATTATAGTATCAGATTTTACGACATTTTGTCAAGATACTTTGTGAAATTTATGCCATAGTGGTTGAAAGTGTTGACTTTTTAGTTCAAGGCTTCCAATAATTCACTTGTTCGCATAAGTAATTTCTACATTACAAATTTCTTAAGTCGTTTAATATTAACGATGAAATCATTAAGTATTTTAACGTCTTCTGTTGAATTTCTTAGTACATATACTTTTCACACAGTTTGCAAGAAAATTTTAATGTTGGCTTTTTAACACTTTCATTGTTACAGCGAAGAGATTGTGAGAGTTAATGTTAGATTGTGAGAGTTAAGTAAGACGAGTAAGGCAGCCTCTATTTCAAACACCAGCCGTCTTAGCTATCAAAGCTCACTTGGAAGTTTTCTTCCTTCAATTTTATCAAGTGAGCAAGGCGACCTACCATTTGATGTGGACGAACTTGGGGAAAAAATTGCTACTAAGGTGGCACAAAAGTGGAGTGGTAACCCTAAATCAGCCCAATCAACAATTTCAACAACTACATACAATCCCACATCGAGTACCGCACTTCGATCTTCCAATTTGATTGAGCTTGTGGATGAAGTGGAAGATTTTGAAATACTAAAAGAAGAGACCAGCTGCGTGCTGCAGTGTCGAACGTATGTCGAATTTTTAAACTCTTCCCGTGCTTCCTTTTCGTCATCTTTTAATCGACCTACTGGCAAAGCAGACGGATCTTTGGCATCTGGTTTACATATGTCAGGTGCCTTGTATGAACAGCTAATTGCAGGCAAGTGTGAAAAATGGTACAGCCAAAAGCAAGAGTGTCAAGGGAAGTACTTGTTGCAAAGAATCAACTCCGTGCAGCTCTTGGTATTGTGAAAACAAAGTCAGCTGCAGTTCATTATGAAGCACAAATTGCTGAGTCTTCGCTGCTGGTGCGGATGTTGGTGATTTTTGTTACCTCCGAAAATTGTTTCCAGACATGATCAGCTGGCATGTACAGGACTCTGTCCAATGAGACCCTGCCCATTGCTTTTCTTAGATAAAGTGATTTAGTCAGCCTAAGGCCTCGCTTTCGTTGATCGTTTTGCCGAGAAGGATTGCACTTTATCATCAACATTTTAGTCGTAAAATGCACAGCGTAGCGCGTCATACTGCTAAGGACTTAATCTCTGCTCTGAGTAACCAACGCATTTGCACATCAGCGGTTTTGATTCCAGCTATCTATCTTTAAAGAATCTTGCAGATAGTGTGGAAGTGTACATCGAGACTTTCAAGTACCACGACAATAGAGAAGAGATCGGTTACAAGTTATGTGGTCAAGACTTTGTCCATGATTTGCTTGGTGTAGTCGATTTGTTGTTGCAAGCGCAGGCTGAGTGGTATCCTGGTTGGAAGTTGTGCTCTCATGTTCCTTTGGTAAAACGACAGATGCAACGTTACATCGAGGAAGTATATGAAATTGATCCTGATGACTTTGTTTGCCCAAGATTAGCTTGAAGCGAGTTCAATGAAATTCGAGATTACCGCTTGGGCAAAGTGAGTTGAAACTGGTTGAGTAGCCGTTAGAGAAGGCGACGGTAAAGTGCCAGTGGATTGGGTAGCAAGAGAAAATGCAGGACAGTGTTCATGATCTAGAGAAGCTGGCTGCGGATGTCATTATCAGATTGATGTCGCTACACCAATAGCTTTTCCGACTCAACAGAATGCTATCAAAGTGTTTTGACTTGGACGACTCTTTTGTGGTTTATGCGGTTTTCGTTCGGAAGAAAAAGTCCAGTAAACAACAGGAGTTTTCTGAACTTGAGCAATGAGTTTAGACGATGTAAACATTTCCTCACAGATGCTTACAATTTCTGAAAAGAATTTTGAGCTTTGTAGCGAGCTATCATCCACAGTGTTTTGTTGTCTAAAGAGAACACTCATTGCTGTTGTTTTAAGTGATATGCTACACACTCACTTCCTAATTTTTTCAAGAAGATCTCCTGATGACGAAGGAATTTTTCCTGCAGGATGGTTTTCGAGGAAGGAGTCTTGTGACTAGGTTCCAGAAGGTACACCAAGGCAGTTCACCCTTTCTGAGGTCTTCGAAGTGACGCTCAACAAAGGTAAAATGATTGACGTTCTTTTAAAGAAGAAGCCGTTATTGAATCTTTATATAACGATTCTCATTTTATTCAGCTGTCGGCCAAGAGTTTTGTCTCGTCTTTGACTGCATTTTATGCGAAATGGAACTGAGGCTGTTGCTGAATCTTTTACCGGTGGTGGATAAGCAAGAAATGGATGGTGGGCAAAGCATAAAAGTGCTAATGAATCGTGCTAAAGTTGATTGGAGTTTACCATCTGTACTTCAATGCGACGCAGCACTGAACGAAATGGCAAAACTTTACATCAATGGGGACAAGGAAGGTGGTTTGTCCAGACATATGATTCCTGTTTTTAGAGACCGACGAGCATGGCAAAAACACGAAGGAGAGATGTCCAAGGTTTTGCAGCAAAAAAGTCTCTTTACGATGTTGATTACCTTTGATTTTCTTTGATTACCTTTGATCTTCTTCTCTTTTGAATCAGACGCTACGTCCTTAAAACATAATAATAAATAAGTGATATTATAAGTATTCATATTTAAACTACAGAGCCTTAGATAAATTTAATAAAGTATTGCTGTTGATGTATAAAGCAAAGGAAATTCATAGCTGCTCAACTGAGAAAACAGCTTCACTCACAATGAAAGACTTCATAAAAATAATGAACATTTATAACAAATTCTTACGTCGTCAATGGATGTTGAATCCTCCATATGAGCAATTTGCGCCTGTAGTTCGCTTTCCCTTTTTACTGAATGTGCCAACTTATCTTCAAGGGACTGATATTAAAAACAAAACATTACATGTGTCATGTCATACACATTTTGTGTTTCACCCTTGTCTAATACATCGACTTATACTCTTCCCACATTATCTGATGTATAGTGATATACCTTTGTATTTCTTTCCATTTCTTTATCGTGTTTCTTTTTGGGGTTTCAGAACCACTTTTCTGAAGACGAACTTCCTCAGTTTTTACGCAAAGCAGCATTTACTTTAGCAGCATCACTAGCTTCAGTCTTGTATTTCTCCAATTCTGACGACTTATTTTCTTCCTTTATTTCTTTCATTTCTCTTTCCTTCACTTCCACTTTTCTGAAAGACTTTTCCTCTCCGCTTTCAACCTCAATTTCATCCAACAACCGTTTGCGCTCCTTCGTTGATCGTTACTTGCATTTGCAGCGGCAACTTTCAGTGGACAACTCTAGTCGTAACGATTTTGAGTTATCTTTAAGGTTGCAATCGTATGCTCAAATGAAACCCGTTTTAAACTTTTTCCATTGAACACAAAGTTTTCAAAGTTACGTTAAATCAACAAAGAACTATAATTGTGGGTTAAAACAAACCTTCTTTATATCAGAATCTTTACTCGTAGCATCGCTTTCTAGAGCACAAATCTTGACTTCTTCTTCGATTTTACATCTTCTTCTGCCTTCTTTAAACTTTGTTTTAACTCTTCCAATGTCGACAATAACTATTGCAATTGAAAATCAAAGTTTTAGTTGATATATTTATTCGGATAAAAATTTACCAAATACGTTGAGATTGTGACGACAATAATTCAACAATGTAGCCATGTCTATAAATAATTAATTCACACCTTTCCCTTTTCTAAGTCTTTATCTACTGAGTCTTCTTTCTTCACCAAAGCAGTTTTCAATGAAGCAATGTCACCATCCTTCGACTTGGATTCATCACATGCTTTTTCATATTTCTTTTTTAAATCATCAATCAGAGAATTCTTCAAAATTGAGATAAAATGTGCTTTGGTCTAATACGATAACATTTAAATGGAGATTTTGGTTTCTGTGGGTTAGACAATCCTAGTTAATTTTTAACCTTTTCAAGCTCGGTGTTTTGGAAACTTTAAGCTCGGCTATTTCTTTTTCCACATTAGCTTCCAGGTCACGCAGCATAGTTTCCTAAGGTGAATTTTGAAATCACTAAAAATAAAGTGGAAGAATAACAAATGCTTAACGAAACAAACTATAATAAATACTTACTCTAGCACTCAACAGTGTTTTGTATTTATTACATTGATTATCAATATCTTCTTTCTGTTTAAGAGCTTCGTTAAGCTTGCTTTCCTAAAATAAACATGGACAAAGTTTGGTGGACAAACCTTGATTTTAATTATTTCTTTACACTGATTATACTCTACATCTGTGCGATCCTTTTCTTTCGTTAACATTTCGAGATGTTCCTCCAATATTTTACCTAGATTTTGAATAATATTTTCATATAATTTGAACATTTGAAGTCATAGTGCATGATTCATGATCATAGAGCGATTTAGTCATTATCAAAATGTGGAGGGTTCAAAACTTTATTTTACCTTAGCGTCATTTGATGGGGATTCATTCACATTTAATTCGTTTTGATATATTTCTAAGAATTTCTCGTAAGGCTAAAATATACAATGCAACAACATCTTTACTTCAATATTTTTATTTATAATTGAAAAGAAAATGAAATTTCTTACTAAATCTTTATCCACTGATAAAGTGGGATGAATTTGACATAAGTAGATCTTAGAAAATATAAAAATTGATGTTAAATATGATTGAATACAATATTCATCAATTTTATACGTATCTAGTGAATCGTCCTACCTTTATGTTTTCATGGAGAGATTTAACAGTCTGTTGATTTTCTTCCTATAAAAAGGGAAATTTATTTAAGTTGCATGCTGTGAATTATCAGAAAGAAAAGAAGTTGAACTCAAAAGTCATCAATGACAAGACTTTTAAGTTTTCACAAACCTTAACAGAAGAAAGTGCCTTTTTTATGTCAACATCACGCTGTTTTTCTGCAGTAGACAAAGCGTCCATTGCTTTCCAGTTTTTCTCTCGTAACTCCTAGGAAAAAATAGCAATTCAAGCAATAAATTGGCGAAGATAACAATAATAAAGAAAATGTTTGAACCCGGGAGTATCGTAACATGTTTGTAGATAAAGATCGCACAGGATGGCGAAGTCCTGAGAAAGAATGCTGGTGTTGGTGATTATATTCACGTTTCGATACTCTTAGCGGTAGTCACTTGGCTATGAAGATGGCTACCGCTAGGATTTTGAAACGTCAGTCAACATCTACACCAAAAATCCTTCTCAAAACTGTCAATATCTAAAAACATGTAACGATAACAGTGTCAAATAAATCAAAACCCTACATTATTTTTGATTTCATAGATTCGATCAACTTCTCCCAGGTGGCAATTTGCGTTTTCTTTTCATTGAGTTGACCAGTTAGCTTTTCAATTTCCTTCTCAAGTTCTTTAACTCTGATAAATACATAAATTATTGATGACAGAACAAAGGCATGAATTGATAAAAAATTTCATACTTTGTGTCATCTTGTGGTGCTGAGTTCAATTCTTGTGATACATTGTTTTTTACAACAATAATTTCTTCCTTTCTTTCATTCAAAGTTTTTGTCAACAGTTCAATTTTCTCATCTTTGCTGTTGTTGGAACATTTAAGATCATTAATCTCTGCTTCCTGTTTAGTTAAAATTGCTCCTTGATTCACAAAGTCTTTCTTTGTGTTTTCATGATCTTTTTCACTTTGATTTAATTTCTGTTTCATTTCCTCCAGTTGTTTTAAAGTATCCTCTGATTGTTTCTGGACAAAAATAAAAATACGTAAATATCATAACTTCTAAAAGAGATCTAAATAAAAATTACAAGTAGTCAAAATGATTTGAGTTATCACAATATTCTGTCTAACACGATCAGGTTTTATGATTGGTGTAAAGTACAATATAATACTCTATAGAAATGAAAATTTAATGAGGAACAAGTCTTCAACACAATTGTATGATTGATTCCTACTTCAGGTTGAAGAAACTTACAAACTGTGTTAAAAAATTATAATCATCCAAGTTTCTTTAATTCAGAATTCAACATAAACCAATATCATCTTTGTTGCATTTACCTGTAATTCAACAACTTGTACTCTGGTTTCCTTTCAAATGACTCTAATCTGTTTCATAAAATCTCTAAAATAAATATATATTTATTTAAAGGGAAACAAAATATTAATACATTATCCATACAAATAACTAATATTATAAGATTTTCATTAAAAGTAATCATTAAGTATAAAAAAGGACAAATAAACATTCTGCTTGAACACATATTTAGAGTCAAGTAGAGCATTTTAGAAAATGTAAGAACTCTTTTCCTGAGCATGATTATCAGATGTTTCTTTCATCTTCAGCTCAAGAGCATTAAACATTTTCTCAAGTTCACATTTTTTTGTCTTTTCCTCATCCAATTCAGATTTCAATGTATTTGCTTGCTGTAAATAAGTTGATTTCTCAGCAAGAGCAACATCAAGGTCTATTTTTGCATTGCGACTCGAGAATGAACGAAGAAACCAGGAAAGAGAGCATGAGGTAAAGATCTTCCAATTGTTATTTGGGAACCAGGCTACCCAGAACATCCACCTTATCAAGTCATCACGAATGTTTGCCCAACCATACATAGGTTTCTCAAATAACAGACATTTGAAAATGGCTGCACCACAGGGCGGATCTAGAGTATGTCAAAGTCGCGCGACTGATGTTTGAAATTCAAAATTACCTATTCATATTAATTAAAATTCATTAATTATTCTTACTTTATTATCGCATTTACTTCGTGATAAAATCCAGCTTTATTTATTATTGAAAACTAATGACTAATCCAATGAATATCTCGTTGGTAACCAGATCAGTTGAATTTTAATTGACCTGGAATAACCGACTGATAAGCGGGTGGCTTGACTGGTTCGACGGATAAAGGAGTCTATGAACGCCAAAACGCTTATTTTATTGGTCAATGGCCAGATCAGTGGACAGTCTGGAATGGTCTCGACTGATAATAAGGGTGGCGGACGTATAAGGGAGTCCAATTGCTATCTTACAATTGGTTCATTTGAATTTTGCTTATTGTGATTGGTTTGACGGATTTCGACTGATAGCCAACTGAACTAACATAGTCAAGCTCACTGTCTGAATTGAATGTTTGATCGTTTCATAGTAATTTTATAAGCATGATAGAAACTAAACTACAATCAGATGGAATTTATGGAAATCTTTACAAATTCATATATTGACATGAATGCTGTCCAAACTGTGAATTTTTTCAAGAGGGTGAAAAATTTATGGATAAATTTAAATGCTTGGCAAAGACGATCTCGCGAGCGACATTTCAGTCATTGATGTTCAAAAGCAAGCCAACATTGTTTTGTATTTTATCAGCAGAAATTTACATCCAAAATCGTAAGTAAAGGACAAGTGAAGTGTATGCACGAATGTAATATATCAAAGTCAATTTATGCGAGTTTGTGATGCGATTTATGTTAATATGGCGTATGGTAAGCAGATTGATGCTTCTAAACTTGTTGCCGAAGGACTTTTAGCTATGATTTCTTTAGTGCTTGGGGAATCGTGACCGTTATATGGCAGCGAAATCCTACATTCCTGCAAATATATTTCAATGGACAAAAAATCTGTAGCCATAAGGCGCCATACTATTATTTACTTTATCATAAACAAATGTTTGGGGCTTTTCAGTTTATGATCATTGATCATTCAATCATTAGACAGTTATACTACATATTGTTTAAGATTTGAGAAAACTAACATTGATTACATGAGAAGCTGTTTACTATAACCTGTGATTTTGAGTCTTCTGATCCATGAAGCTTTTATTTTGACAATTTGACTGGAATGGTATTAAACCTGAGTATTTCACATACATGAAATGTTGTCCCATGTCACATATTGTCCCCTTTTCTAACTGAACACCTCATGTAGAGATGTAAAGGTGTATTAATCTACGGCTCATACCAGATTGTTTGCCATAAATTCCAAAGGGCTATCGATGTATGAAAGCATTTTCTATAAAGTAAAATGTCTTTCTATGTATGCAGATAAACCTTGAAATTTGGCAAAACAGCAAAGTATTTTCATGATCACTAGGTAATTTTTCTGATGATCATTATAATTTCTAAACTAAATTATTTCAGATTTACATTTAAAAAGCTTTGATCATATGAAAGATATTTATCATAACCAGTAAACATGACATGAACCAATTTTAACATGCATTTACATGAACCATTACATGAACATTCATGAACCATTAACATTCATGTAATTATATAATTAAAGACATGTTGGTTACATTCTGTTTGTATTTGCAAATACAATGCTACTAGTGATTGCTATATAGCACACCTTGCATATACTTACAGAAGATAATAGTCTAGTGAAATGCCTAATAAACATTTATGGCATTAAGCTGTCCTTAACTGCAAATTTTCACTCTGATAATTTTGCTTAATCTTTGCAGAAAAAATTTGAGTTTTCTCAAAGGTGAATTTGCTGGCACTGATGTGGAGATGGTAAAGGGTTACAATAAACTTGCATGGTTTGAAGTCTGAGCTTTTCTATCTATGAACTGTCACTTGTACCAAATTTCTAACTTTAACTAAACTCATTAACATTTATAACTTTATTTAACTATAGAGGTTTGAATGGGGGTCTCTAGGGGGGTCTATGCCTGACAACTTGGTAGAAATGCTTAAAGACTATATCTGTTTTTGAATAGCATTATTGTAAAATAAATTTTACGTTCCTAGACATGCTAATGAGCCATATATTTAGCATGATAATGAGCCTAAATATTTGGCAAAACTCACTTCATTTTTTTTTTTTTTTAAAAAAAACGTAAGCAAAATGTGTTGTTTTTACGCAAAAACGATGCCCACAAATACATTTTGTATTGCTCTAAAACGCTGAAAATGGCATTTTCAAGGCTCTGAAATTCAAAATTTCTCAGGGGTAGAATGCCTCAGACCCCCCCCAGGTGCGGAGCGCCTTCGACGTTTTATGACTGATGTTTGAAAAATCCTAGATCCGCCCCTGCTGCACCAGTATCCAAACTCCAGGCTATAGCTTCGTAGACAGCAATGATGATGAAGAAAAAACATATTTCAGGTTATGATTTAAAGTATTTGAAGTACTTATGGTCACTTGAGTCTTTGCTTTGTTTTGAAGTATTTTGAAACGTTTAATAATTATCTGAACATTAAACACACATTTGAAATACCCTATGAATCTTATGTTGTATGTTGCAATAATTAACTTAAATTAAATGTTTTGAATATTTCATTGTGAGTCAAACAGTCAGGTAATATTTTCTCGAATGTCTCACCACATCGCCCCTCATTGTACATCACTGGTTGCACCACAAGTTCTTGGTCAACTTTCTTCCCACGGTGTTTGTTGTTATTTTGCACTTCACAAATATTATGCAAAATGCAAGATGCCAACACAAGAATCACCAAATTCTTCACATTCATATCGACCCGCTTACTAAATCTGATAAAGTGGCCTTTCCATTTGCCAAATGTGTTTTCGACTGTCATTCGCGCTCTGCTTATACGATAGTTGAAGACTCTTTGTTTTCTAGTTAAAACATCTTTAAGAGGATAATCTTTTAAAGGACACATGCAACATAAAATTCGGATTGTTATTTTTGTACTTTACATGAAGGTATAGCTACAACAAATAGTTCACCAAAGTTTGAGAGTCAAAGGATAAATATTTTTGAAGATATGGAGGTTTAAAGTTGATGCTTTACTGATAACGTATGAAAATGCCCGACGAGCTAGCGACATCTACCGAAGTCGTTGTGACGTATGACTATTGTATAATATAAGATGGCATTTATAGAAAACGGCAACAACTTTGATTTTTCATTAAGTGTTCTATTCTTAAATGATTTGAACCCGGAAGTATGGTTACATGTTTGTAGATGTAGATCGTTCCAGGTTGGTATAGTCCTGAGAAGGACTGTTTATGTTGTTCTTGACTGACGTTTCAACAACCTTAGCGGTAGTCATCTTCAGGGTCAAATGAGGAGTAAACGTCAGGTAAGCTGTATTTGTTATCTGGTCTTACGTCATTGTATTGTGTGTACAGGTAATGTGTGGGTGTCAATTGTGTATTATCATTGTGGATTAGTGTGAAGAGTAATAGTTGATTCGTCTCTGACAGTCGCTAATCCGTTATCAGTCGTCTGCTGGTGGAACGTCAGTCAACAACAACAAAAACAGTCCTTCTCAGGACTATAGCAACCTAGACGATCTACATCTACTAACATGTTCTATTCTTAATTGACATCAAAAATAAAAATGTGTAGTTTTTCTTTGAGGCACAAAATACAAAAGGTTGCCCCAGAAAGTATGCTTCCTTTGATCTTGAATGATCGATTATTCACTTTCAATTTTTATGCATACTTAGACAACTCCATACAGAGTCATTGATATCAGAGGCAATGAGTGGTTTCAGTATTTCTCTAAGTGAAAACCGACTAAAACAATTATGTTATATGAAGGGGAACATACAAAGTTTTGTTCACATCACCACTGCGATTGCGCATTTTTTTTCTCAAGCTGTTTGACGTAAGAAATTTAAACACGATGGCACTTTCTTGAAAAACTTCTTTATCATATTTGCAAATGTCTCCATTTTTCAGTATTGGGGGCAGCCATTGGAACGGTCAATTTGGAAAATATTTTTTTGTTGGTGATATCATGGCCTAAAACAAACCAAATATGAGCATCAGAATATTAACATTTAACAGGACGTTTTCTTTTTCTTTCGGTCAATTAAGAAAGCACCGTAGAGATCTCAATAGTTATTGACGACATAATTATGAAAGAAGACGAATCGAGTATCTTTTTTCATGCCTTAAAAATTCATCCTTTACCATTAGAACTTATCATTTGACTCGCAAATTCTGATTTTATTCACACTTATATATGGCTTGTTCATACACAATAGACGATCTCCGTTCATATTTTACCTTATGAGTGAAAAACGAGGACGTCTACTCCAACAATTCGCAAAATTTATTAGGCTCATAATTGCAAAGAGCAAAAATATCAACTTTAAATCACAT